TGCTTAGAAGGATAATCAACGGATCATGCGAATAAGTTCTAATATGATATAGCATTAAATACTTGCTTAAAAAGGTGATTTAATACTATTAAAACTGGAGTAGTAAGTGAAGCGGAGATATGCAACTATGGACTGTAACAAAGGATCAAGCCTTAACTGGAATTGGAAGCACCTCTGGCATCGGTGGAATAACTATAGAAGGCTATTCGGCGTAGAGAATGTAATTTACCCCTATACATTTAAATGTACCAAATCGGAGCTCTAGTCACATCTATATAGAAGTCTAGAACAAAAAAAGCTAGGATATACTAGCACGAATACTATACCAACTAGAAATAGCTAGAAGTGATTTAGCTTGCCACTTAAGTAATTTCATGGTGTTAGGCCGGTCTTTAACAAGATAGGTTATTAAAGCAAATTACGAAAGCTAATAGCTGGGAGTGTATAACCTTGCAGTTGCTGTGCAACTTCAGGGGGTCCTCATGAATTATGATTCTGGCGAACACCATATAAGGGAGTACATAAGGGGGTAGAAGTTGTACAATTGTACTATACAACTTAGAAAACATCAAGACTTAGGGACGGCAAACTGTCGGCAGCAGCAGAAGCCTGGCTTGAGATATGAGGTCAGTTTACCTGGGGGGGTAAGTGGAAGGATCTGTAGCATTCATGCAATGTATTGTTGCATGAAGGGATGCAAGCCGACAATGGGCGGTACAAACACAAGATAAGTCCAAAGACCCAAAATATGATACCAATACTTCTCATGTGGGACTGATGATGGCAGCAGACATCTGGCTTGAGATATGTATATGAGAGGCTACTTATAAGAAAGGTTATTTACTAGTACTAGTATGTACCGAATAACAGGCACACCAAATTGGAAGGCTGTAAAAGGACTGATTTCCTGAAAGAACCAATTTAGGAGTAATCAAGGTTTGATGGTGAGACATGGGGAGAATATGGTGGGTAACTAGAAATAGTCTAAACACCAAATCCAGGTATAATCCAATACGTGGCAGGAATGTAGTATACTCTGGTAGGTTTAGGTTATAGATAATTGTCTAAAGCTTGTATTCTTAGATAGATATGTAGCCATATAAGGCAAATACTTCAATCAAATATCTAATAAAGATACAAGGTAATGACCTCACCTTAATACCAAAAAAAAATTTGTCTAAATATAAGCAATTCTTTAATTTTATTATAAATTTTTTTTCAAAAATTTTTATAAGTTTTCAAATTTTTATATGTTTCCAAAAAGAAAAAACTTTTCTCTATTAATCAAAGTTAAAATTTTAATTATAAAATTATAAAAACTTTTATAACAAAAGTTGTTTATAATAACTTAATCTACAATTTGTATCAAAATTATAGGTACATATTCTTAGAATTTTAAAGAGTTTGTCAATAGTCAAAAATAAAGTTTTTAAAAATCAAGAATTTTTAAAATTTTTAAATTTTTTTAGCTTATAGACAACTTAAAATTTTTTTATATAAATATAAAAATTAAATTTATTAAAATATAATCTATATTAATAGTTAATATTTAAAAAAAATTTTTTTTAAATAACTTAATTTTTTAAAAAAATAAATCAGAAGCAAATTTTATAAATCTCTTAAAAATTCTAGTTAGCAAATTTGCCTGCTAAAATTAATAGTTTAAGGAATACTATATGCTGTATCTGTAACCTAACTAAGAAATTATCTATTTAAACTCTCTGGTGTCTCTCGTTCTGCATCATTGTCACAATTATACTAACTATAACCTTATACTGCTTCAATTAAAGGTTATCCAGATTGATATATGCTATACTATTTGGCTCTAATTCTATAAATAACTCAGTAGAGTTCTTATACTACTGAGTTGCCTTAGAAGAGATGTAGTATATACTCCCTATTCCTTCTATATTCTATGCATTTTCAAATAAACTATACAATTCTAGTATTTGGTGCCTTTATAAGATTTATTCTAATCCTAATAGCCATATTAAACTGATCTTTATACCAATTCTTCCCAAACTATCAAATCAGTTAGTCTGAATAGGTTGTTGTACTTAAGCTTTAAGTGCTTTCTGGTTTTATTTTTTTTGGTTTCTAATTTTATAGTATAGAACCTTTTTCTCTGATACAACTTCGACAGCCAGATTGGTAGATTCTTTTTGCTCGGAATTTTTGTCTAGTTCTTTATTCTTTAGTTTTCAGCTTTTCATAGTATCATCAAAGACCTTTATTATCTTCTTGCTCAGGTCTTGCCAAATAGGTTTTAATTATTCTAGTTTTTGAATTTGGATCACCTAAAAGCTTTATTTCGAGATAATAATATTAAAATTACAGGTAATATACCCAACTGATTATTAAATAATTATTGTTGCAGATTAAAATAAAATCTAATCAAAATGAAACTAAGAACCTTTCATGCTTACCTTTAGAGCTTATAAAACCCACATATACTCATTTATTAATAAATCTAAACCTAAGCTCTACCCTAATGCTAAAAAGAACCCTAAAAAATATCTCCTAAAAAATTTTAAAAAACAGAAAATTTTCATTTTGATCAGATATCGCTTTAATCTGTAACAATTATTGTTACAGATATCTAATCAAAATGAAATTTTTCTGTTTTTTAGGAAAAATTTAAAAATTTTTGAAGAATATTTTTTGAGTTCTTTTTAGTATTAGATAGAGTTTAGTGTTAGGTTTATTAATAAATAAGTATATGTGAGTTTTATAGGCTTTAAGAGTGAATATGAAAAATCTTTAGTTTCATTTTGATCAGATTTTATTTTAATTTGCAATAATTATTGTCACAGATTAAAATGAAATCTGATCAAAATGAAATTTTTTTATTTTTTAAGAAAAATTTGAAATTTTTTGAAAGACATTTTTTGGTGTTCTTTTTAGCATTAGGGGTAGAGTTTAGAGTTAGGTTTATTAATAAATGAGTATATATGGGTTTTATAGGCTTTAAGGGTAGGTATAAGAGGGTCTCCAATTTCATTTTGATCAGATTTCATTTTAATTTGCGATAATTATTACCAGTACACAGGTCTATTTTTCTAAAAATATCTTTGGTAGGATTCAAACTCTAGATTTGCTGCTTGGAGTAACAATTTAACCACTACTCGAAATCACTATAACCTAATAATATTTTTTAAATTTGTTATTAATATAAATATATAATATTATTTTTAGGTTTTTATTTAAAATAATTAATAGTGATTATCACCAGTATATAATTAGCTAATAACAATAAATTAAAAAAAAATTTGTTTTATTTACTTTAGGGTTAAAGTAAAGCATGAGATTTTAGTAAGATATTAGATATATACAAAATTTAGCAAGAAATTTTTTTGTTAGAATGTTGAAAATAGTTTTATAAGATTCTTAAAATATTAGCATTTTTTAAAAAAATCTTTATCTTTATTACATAAATTGATTTGCATTTACATCTGATTCTGCAAATTTATTAGCTAATTATATATTAGTAATGATCACTACCAATTATAGTTAGTAAAATTCTTATTTTTAAATCAAAATTTAAAATTCAAATTGTAATATTACTTTATTAATAAATATAATCAAAAAAATATAAATATTTTTTTTGGTACTGACAAAGTCGGCAGTTCTCAGCTTATAATTGGAGGAAACAAATCTTCAGAAAGTTAAGGATCCAACGTGAAGCAAATTAGCTGCTTAGGCAGGTCACACCTGAGCATTTAACGTCAAGTGAGTCTTTATTAGTACAGAAATTTAATATAGAATTATATATTTGTAACAATATAAAATTTTGATACTTCTGATTAAAATAATAAAGGCAGGATCGCCAAAAAAAAAATAAATAAATATTTTTTATAAAAAATATAATAAAAAATTTTTAATTAATATAATATTCAAAATTTAAATCTGTGTTTAGTTTGCAAATCCTTTTATATAATATTTATATTTATATATAATCCTATTAGCTAATGATAATATAATTATTTGATTTATTAACATAAATATTATTTAAAATTAAAATTAAAATTTATTAAATTTTGAATAAACTTTCTTAGTAACTACCTTATTAATATTAATATTTTTTTTATCTAAATTCTATAGATATATAGTATTTAAAAAATAACTATTAATAATTAGAAGCAAGGATGACATGTGATGATATTAGACATTTAGACAATTTGGATATTTGGACATTTGGACAATGTCCAATTGTCCAAATAATTTGATTGGATATTATAAATTTTTTTATTGGATATTGAAAAAATTTAATTTAACTTAGGTCTAAATTAAACTTAATTCAGGCCAATATTCACTAATATACAATATCTTTAATCTACAGTATATTTAAAAAGTTAAAAATTAGACCCATTAAGAAAATCTCTACCTGGGTATTATTAAATTACCTGGATTATTCGGGTAAATTATTATGTATTTCAGATAACCGTATAGTAACAGTTTCTACCTGGTCCAATTTTTATAAAATATATACTGATATATATTATTAAGGTTGTTAGCTGGAGATGAAAGGTTGCAACCTTCCAACTCTAGTAAACTATTATGGCAGGTAACCTTGTAAATTACTTTTTTGTAAAACCAGACTTCAGATTCTTTAAATTAATAATTAGCATTTAAGAATCGAATCTGTAAATATATATGCTTCAAAACTGTATCACTATATAAATAATAAATTACATGAACTTATATGACTTTATATATCTTAAAAATATTTTATATATTCTATAAACCTTCAGTATTGCTATAAAAAAAATATATATATAAATTTATATAATTGTTAAGTGACATTACACTTACAAAATTTTTATATTAAATAATTATATATAATTATGTGATGCTACGTAAATATATGAACCTTTAAGCATTAACTAACTAGATTCAGTAAAATAAAATATTCTTATTTTGGTTTTATTATACTAATGTCCAAGAGTTAGCTTCATATAATATAAAATTGCTGGCTAATACTGTACAAATTGATATTTATTTTACTTTAATAAATTTACGAATCCTGGTTGTTCTAAATAATTTTGATCAAAAAAGGTTTCTAATTTCCATTTAGTTTGAAATGTAATAGCAAGATTATCATCCAAACTATTTTCTGTTAATTCTTCATCTGAATGATCTTCATCTAAATTATTTAATTCTAATACTGCTTCTTTGTCCACTTCTACAAGAGAATCTCAATTATTTACTGTTTCTTGTCATTCATTAACTGAACTAATTTCACTATTTTTTTCAAATTGTTCAACCTCCTCTAATTCCGTATTTTCATCTTCTGACTCTTGAGTCATCTCATCTAGAATAGCAAAAAAAAAGGAATTTTTTAAATTAAAACATGTTATATCTTATTCTTACAAAATGCATAATATATAGGCAAAATGTTTTGATAAAAATGTCATAATTATTAAGATTAAGTAATCTAAATAATGATTTATAAGTATTTTACTACTTCATGATCAGTTTTATAAGCAATTTACAACTAAGATACAATGATGATTTATAATTATTATATGCAGTTTTATAAACGAATTATAACTATGAAAATCAATTTGTAATTATTATAGCATGTTAATATAAAACTTCGTGTTTTATATATATACATAAAATACTTGCCATTTCTATTTTTGGATAGTGTTGTATGTGTTGCAACTTGTGTTTGTACAGTACCGGACAGTAAAACACATCTAATGTTTATTAGTAAAAACTTTAAAGTATTATAACTTTTTTAAAACAAGCTAAATCAAAAAACCCTCTGACAAATTGATAGATTTTTAGATAAACTACATTTCTG